CTAAATACCACTTTTACTTTTATTTTGGGTGTAAGCCAAAATCTGAACCCACACTTTCAGAGGGAAATGCATTTTTAAGCTCCCTTTCCTTTTGAAAAGCACCAAAATTAAAACAGTTCTTTTTATACTGATTCTTATCTTTTGAGTCAACATTTCTGAAGATAAATGAATTGATATTTTAAACATAGGCATACATGTGTCAATGGAAAACATGATGTGCTGTAGTAGAGCTGATCAAAAATGTTTAAAAATAACATAAGGAAGAAAATTAGAAGCTTTACAGAAAAAAAGAAACAACACCACTCTAATCTTTTTGTTTCCTATAACTTTGAGCCAGCTATAGAGTGGATCAGATTTTGAAGTTTATTGACAATGCAAATTTTGGAATTCTCAGACAGAAGTAGCTTTTTGCAATATTAGATCACTTTTTTTTTTATGTCCATTTTGCCCCACGGGGTTACTGAGCATCTCCTAGAATCATAGAATGACACAAAGCCATTGTCCCTTGTCCTGTCCCTCCATCCCTTTTCCCAAGTCCCTCTCCAGCTCTCCTGGAGCCCTGGAAGGGGCTCTGAGATGTCTCTGGAGCCTTCTCCTCTCCAGGTGAGCACCCCCAGCTCTCCCAGCCTGGCTCCAGAGCAGAGGGGCTCTGGCCCTGGAGCATCTCCATGTTCTCCTCTGGACTGGCTCCAGCAGATTCAAGTTCTTTTCCTCAGAGCTGCTCCCCATCCATCCTCTTCCCAGCCTGTATTTGGGATTATCCTGACCCCTGTGCAGGGATATCCACGTCCCCATCTCTGCTGCTCACAAAACCTCAGCCGTGTTAGAGACCGAAGTGCTGAAAGACTGCTGAAGTCTACAAGATTCTGAAATCAAAGGCAGCAACATTAATATTCTGTGCAAATGTGAAGAAGCCATGAAAGCTTTGTTTGTTGCTAAAGAAACCAACTAAATCAAACAAGTTGAAGAAAACAAAGACTTGTATAATTGTTTTAATTAAAACTGCCACTTATTCCAGAAAAAAAAAAATGCAACACAGTCGTGCTCTCCAAACATTTCTTGCTTAGACTTGCATGCTCAAAATCTGTGTATAAAAAGTGAAATAAAACATTGCCAGCCATTTTCCAGTCCTGTTCGACTCAAAAGCTCCAAAACAAATTGCAATAAACCCATGCAAAACTTTGTGATGTTTACTTCAGATTTTATCCCAGAGGAATTTATGGAACTTGCCATTCAACTGCGAAAGCATGTTATCTCAAATGAAATGCAACGCTCCTTAAATCTTCAAAGAGCATCATGGCAGTTAGCCATAAAATTCACTGTGACTTTAGACATTCAAAAACAGCATTAATGCCAGGATCTGGCTGCCCTGTGTGGTTATTTTAAGTCTCCATGGGCACAAACACTCTTTTGGGTCCGGGCCCTCCATACATTCAGCCTCTGGTAAAAGCCATGAGACTGCTTTGCCTTTCACAAGCTGCTTATCCCCTTCACCTTCCCACTCCACAAGGTTGTTTTGGCATCTCAAAATAAATCAGATACAGAAGGAATCCTGGTAGTTTCTCAGCTCCTGGAACCAAGCCCCTGTTTTTTAATGCAAAGTATGAGAGATATAAATACATCTTAATTTTAATTGAAGGAGAATGTCTGACCTTTCTACAAAATAGTGTCACTTGAGGTTTCTGTATTTCTTGTGACCTTTACAATGTTCATTAGGCTTTTAAGTATGCAAGTTCAGCTTAAATTTGAAATATTTTGCCTTCCTCAAGTACAGACTGCCGAATTTGGTGCCATGTTGGTGTATGAACCCAGCATGTTATCACTGTGTGGCAAAAAGGCAACTATAAAATCTGAACCACACTTGCCTTCCCCTCTCAAATAATCTCTTCAGATACTGCAGTTTGGCTCGAGCCTGTCTTTTATCTCCTTTTCTCAGCACATTGGGAGCTCTTTATCTCCACCAATACTTGCATTTGTGTACAGGAGTGTTGGGAACCATTTTTTGTATATATCGATTGTTGTCATTTCAAAGATCTTGTTTTTTTTCCCTGCTTCCTAAGCATTAGCATTTTTAAACTTAGAGAAGCAGGGTGACTATTAGAAACATCCTACAGGAAGACATAATTTATCATCAAAATACTTGCAAATTTCTTCTAAACATGTTACATTAAGCTTTCTGGAGACTGCAAAGAAGATTATAGTAACAACGCTTTTCTTATCTTTTCTTACTTTCTTTTTTTTTTTTTTTTCACGGTGGCTGGATGACTGAAATAATTTCAAGTTCGTTTTTTTTTTTACTAGAACCTGATCACCACCTGTTTGAGTGAAGAAACTGAGGACTGTTTGAAAGTAATGCCTTTGGCAACACATACACCTTGCTCAGTCTCTCTCACATCTTCAGTTTATCATATAAAAGGCTTTTCCAAGTGTTGCCTGAGAACAGTAAAGACCTCATTAGGAGCTGAAAACTGTTGGGGATTTCAATGTTGATAATGAAAATCTTATTTATGGAATTGCTGAATACACATATAAAGTCTAAAAAGCAAGAGCCTACTAGATGAAATAATAGTCCAAGTGAAAAGGAGTAATGTAACCACATCATTCCTATTTTCTAATGGCCATTTCCTTGCATAGTCATATTGAAAGAAAGAGAACTGTAAGGTGCAGTTGTTTCTGGTATCTTCCAGGCTGCTTTCAGGACTCACATAAGTTTCCTGTCCAGTTAATATTTTGGTAGTATGCAAAGGTGTGATCTGTCAGAGATTGATGAAGATCTGGAAGCATTCTTCTGCTTTTAGGCTTAGGTAAGAAAAGGTGTGAACCCCCACCAGAGAAGGAAGAAAAAAGTATGGATCACAAAACTACTATAATTTTCTAAAACTGGGCTGTAAATACATGGTAATGAAATCTATGGTAAATACAACTTTTCTGTGACTAAACACATCAGATGTATGCAAAGCCAGGTCATGTTTACCAGGGAAATACATGTTGTAAGGGAATAATGGCTATACAGTTTCCTAACTCTACTCCATTGCATGCATTTATTCCACTGAAATCAGTAATCATGTCAGAATAGAGCTAGTAAAATATGATGGGAAATAAGAGCCTTTCATACAAGCCTCTTTGCCTGTCTGTCCTTTTATATGGCACCTCCTAACACAGTGTCTGAGTGCTAAGTTCTTCATCCTCCATCTGATTTAAAACTTAAAGTGGATGTGGTGGAGACCTCTGGTCCAGAGTAAACTGCCCGAGATGAACCAGCTGCTCAGACTGGCCTCACAGAAACGATAATGGGGTTCTGTGGTCACAGCTGACTTATTTTGTTGGAACTCAAAATGTCCCTCAGACATTTTTGGAGGTTCCAGGCCCTGGTCGGAAGCATTTGAGACCCTGGCAGGCAGCTGGAAACAGCTGTGATTTTGAGTTTGAGCCATGGAATGATTTACCAACTTTGCAGGAAGAACAAGAAGTCACAAAAGTTTAGATGTTATAGTAGAAGTAGTGACAAAGTAGAGGGAAGAATTTTTTAGTGTTGTACAGGGGGGTTTTAACACCTGTACAGGGTGGTTTTTACTTTGTACATGGGGTCAGAGGTTTTAAGCTGGAGGGATTCTTGGCCGGTCCTGTCCTTCCTCTTTCTTCTTCCTTACCCCCATGTTTTTGGTGATGTTGGCATTTACAGATTGGTTTAGAGTAAAAAAATCTTCCCGGCGCTCCAGAGCCGCCGTGGCTCCTCGGAGCCTTCCCACACCTCATCCCTCAGTGCTGGATCCTTGCATCCAGGCTTTGGTTTTGATCTCCCCTCCTCCTGGAGGTTGGGGGGCTGCTCACATGCTATGAACACTGCTGGTGCATCTTGAGGGAGGAGGATTGAGGACTTCTCAGGAGGCAGCTTTTCATCAGCGAGTGCAGACTTAGATGAATTAGAAAGATTTCTCTGAAATTGCTGAGAAGCAGCATTATCAGGCAAGGCACTTTTCTTCCATAAAGATAGAATGTTTCAGCTGACTTTTGTTTGATTATATTGTGAATTCTAACACACTATTGTGCACACCTTGAAGCCGTTAAGGCAAAATGAATAATTCCAACAGGATCAAGATTAAATGTTTTCTACCGTCCCAAACAAAGCATAATTCAATTAAAGTACCTTTGATGATCTCTACACTGCAGCAATTTCATTTTTGAGATATAGTTCATCATTTAGATTAATACTCCTGCTTGAAAGAAAAGCAAATTTTGGCATGCTGATGTTTCCTGCAGACCCAGCAGCCCATGAGAGGGATTGGAAAATTCAGACTGAGAGCATCTCTCTTTCTTTTCCCCAAGTCCTCTCTTTGATGCAGGACCATGGCAGGAGGGAGAGGAGGGAGAAAGATAAGAATTGGGTTTATCATCTATAAATAGAGACAGCCCTTCACACTCACTTTCTTGAGAAGTCCTGGAGCACCAGGGGAAAGAAGAACAAAATAAATCTGAGACAGGCTGGGAAAGTTCTGTACATCTCAGGAATGTTCAGAAGCACAGTTAACTCTGGCAGTCCAAGTTCTTTAAAAAACACCATCAATTAGTTTCTCAAGTTTAATTCTGCCCCGTATCTACCAGCTGGAAAGTTTGTTGAGCAATAAGCATAAGTGGGTTGTAGAATATAAATCATTGCCCCTGACATGCAGGGAAAACATCTCTTGTTTTATACTGACGTGGTTGTGGTTTCTGCAGATTGCTTGTGCAGAATCTTGGGCAGAATCAGCATCTTGGTTCAGGCCTAGATTTTTAGATTTTGGGAGTTACAAGTTGAAATAAATTATTAGGAAGTTTAGCAAAGGAAGTCTGCCATCACACTTTGACCTAAAATGGAATTAAACTGTCCACTGCTAAGGGACCTAGTAGCAAACCTGTCCACATTACTTAAAAATATTTTTTAGAGCTGTTTTATATGGACTTTGCTACATTGGATTTCTTTCTGCTTGTTTTTTGTTTGTTTTTTTATTTTTTTCCCATAGGTGAAGAGGATGTGGAAAATAGACCATACATGGAAATCTGTGAATCCTATCCTATGCTGGCATCTGTATGAAGGATAATTTTGTAGGAGGTAGGCAAATAGCCCATTGCTGGTGTCAATTAAAAACAGTCTTATGGTTAAAAAAAAAAAAGATAACAAAAAGTCTATCCTCTAAAGCAACAAGCAAGTGACACCCAAGCCAGGAAGCTCAAAATCAACAAAATAAACCTTATTCCAAAAGCTGTGTTTGGTTTTTAATTGACTGATTTCCTACCAATATGAGGACACTCTCAGGCTGGTGGGCCCAATGAGAGGTCCTTGAAAGCCCAAACTGAACAAGCATGTGAAATATTTAAGGCCACATTTTTATATTTATTAAAAACAGCCTAAATAATTAAACTAGTTGATTCACTAGTGGCTTTCAGGCTCATGCCCAGAGTGAAAGGTCATGACCTGACATACCAGGGCCCCACTTGGTACTGATGATTGACAGGAAAAGGAAATAAGTTGATATCTTTCACGTGGGAATCACAGCTTGTAGCAACTATGAGCAAGTGGGCTATTTGGACTTTGTGGGAAAACTTAATTGTGTTATTATTCAAAATCTTCGTTCCCAAAGTTGGTTCAATGGTGATTTATTTACTTATGTGATAAAACAGCTGTGTACTGTAATAAAATACAGGTCACTTGCTGATGTTTAATGCACAAAAGTGAAGATATGTTTGGTTTCTTTTACTTTGAACTTACAATCAAGCTAGGCAGCAGGGATGACTTTGAATTATTAGGAATTTTCTGTTAGTGTATTGGACATATTCTGTGTTCTCATCATAGTATATATTTTTCAGTGCTTGGTTATGGAGAAGGAGGAAGGCACCATACACTGAAATATGAGTGCCTCTCCACCATATGCTTTCATTATTTCTTTATAATGATAAAAAGGGGCTGCATTCAGTGCCAGACAATGTCATGGCCCCAGAGATTTCAGTGGCCTGCAGAAAAAAGGAGAAAAAAGCATTTATGATATGAATGAGGATTTGAAATGGCTTTTTAAAAAAAGGCCTAAGATCCACTTTCACCCTAAATTCTGAAATCACTTGAAAGATGCCTAGATGCGGGTTTGAAGAATAGCAACTTTCCACCAGGCTCTGCTTTATATGCAGGATCGCTGCCATCTTCACCAGGCTTTGTTAGGAGGTCAGATAATTGTAGCAAGCAATAGGTCACAGCCTAACTTCACATACTGTGTGATTTGTTCTAGCAGTGAACCCTGTCATCTTGATCCAGAGGACGTTTGCTGTGCCCCAGTCATTTACAACTCAGCCAAGTGATGCACTTTTGTTTAGCACTCGGAGCTGAGGAGTTCAGGGGGTTTTGTGTGAGCTGCCCTGTCTTTGTGCCTTTCTGCTCCTTCCCCAAAGGGTGGGCGTGATGTGAGCTGGGCCAGGCTGCAGGTCCCGGCCACACTCCGGGGATTTTGTGTCCTTTTGCAGCGGGGCCGTGCTCTGCCAGCTCCTTCAGCGCTGGGTCTGGGCTCTTGCATGCTAACAGTCCATTAAAACTCCCATAAAGTCAAAAGTAGTTTTACCCCAGAGCAGGCCACGGTGGGGAAGGTTTGCACATTTCAGCTCAGTGTGACACCACATTTTGGGTGATAAAGCAGACATTTCCCTCAGACTATCTCCACTTCTTATCCGAGCCTTTCCTCCCATCTTATTCTCGATTCAGAGCAAAGCAGCTCTGCTTGGGAACCTTTGGGAACTCTGCCACTTGTACCACAATCACCAGGAGAATTTTAAGCCTTAAAATAATCTGATTTTCACAGTTACACAGTAAATCAAGATAAAAGTTGCTTCACAGAGTAAGAGCTGGTGGTATTTCTCTTTCATTGTTTTATGTTATTCCTTCATATTTAACATCTGGCAATAGTGCATGATATTTTACCAACAGACATCAGATCCTGCCACAGGAGTGCAGGCCTGTGATAAGTAAATCATAATCACTGGCTGAGAAAGGAAATCAAGAAAAATGGGTCCAGGGGCAAAAACTTGCTCAAAATTGAAAATCTTTCTGCAGCAATACCAGCCTACTTCCTATGAACATTTGAGCAGGAAGGGGAGGTACTCAGCTCTCTCAGCACTTTATGTACATCCTTGTCCTGAAAGGAGAGGGCTATTCTTAACCCAAATCCAGCCAATTTCTAGAATTTACTCACTTACAAAATGGAGATACAAACTGGAGAGCAGCTATCACCAGAGCTGTCGACGATGCAGCAGCTGCAGATATGTGGAAACTTGTCCCCTGTGTTAGAGGCCACAGTGTGACCTTGCATGGCCCATGAAAGTGTTTAAAAATCATGATGACACTGGGTTCTGACTGACTTTGTCTAGATTCAGCCTGAACATCAAGAGGAAAAAGGCTCTGAGTCCCGTGCCAATTCTCTGATCTTTCCATTCCTCTCCTCCTCCCCACCTCCAGGCTCTGTGTCTCAGCAGCTCCCTGAAGTGAGCACCATGACATGAATCTGGAAGTGAAGAAGCCCTCAACTCTTCAGAAAAGAGCAGTTATTCTTAGCTTTCTTTCGCTGATGTTTTTCTTTCTTTTCCCCCCTTTCTTTTTTTTAAAGAAAACAGAAAGCCTGCCAAAATTTGGGCTCTTTGATGTGCTTTGGAAAGAAAAACAATGCTATCTATCCAAGTCCTCTGAAAGGAACAAAAATATGTCATTTTCAGGCATGAACTACTCGAGAAGAACAATCAATACATTTCACAATTAAAGATGGTCTAAAGTTTTTTGATATTTTTCTGGAAATTGTTTATTAACAAAATTTCTGAGACACATGCCTGTTTCAGTTAAACTTTCCTTGGGAAGATTTCCTGAATTATAAGGTAGGTGAAAGGCTGGAGGGGGAAGAAAGAGGAAGACACTGATATTTGCTGTAGAATATTCAATAATCTAATAATATCCTAGGGGGACTATGTAAGACCCCATCCAAGCTATTCTTCTGTCAGTTTGGATTGAGTATGTGAACCTGCCTCGTTCATTTTATTCATCCTACTTTGGGATGAGCAAAACAGGTCACAAAAGCAGGATCTGTTCTGTACTGTTTGTTTGTTGATTCAGCTCTCAGTGGACACGTTGCTTTATTAAACTCTTCAGCTGTAAATGAGACACTGGCTTCATTGTCTCATACTTAGGAAATTTGCTTTAGATAGAAGCATCCCAGGTTGGAATCTTTGGCCAGTAAATATAGGGGAGATTTTGAAGCTGCAGTCTTGGAAGTCATAACCTAATAACTAAACTCCTGTTTGCCCTCTAGTTTTAAGTTTTTTCCTCCTTCACCCCAACAAATCTTGAAAGAGCTGATTTATGCAATGAGAATTTTTGACATTTTTATTAAGTCCAGGCATTTAATAAAGACATTCTTTCTTCAATGTGATTAAACTGAGGTAAAGAAGCACTTGTGTTATTTCTCTCTTCTATTGAAGTTTTTAACAGATTTTCCTTTTTTTTTTCCCTTCCTGTGGCAGGGCTTGTTACATCATTTCCATGATCTGGTCTCACTTTCCACTGCAGTGGCTATATGGGAAATGCATCTGCTTTTACAACTGAGCTTTAAAGGGGTTTGTATCTATATCTACTATTTCTGGTCCAGTGTTTAAAAAAAAAAAAAAAAAGAAAAAAAAAAGTAAAAACAGTAGATGTTAGACATAATCTGCAAAGGACAGGTTGCTTGAGGTTGGTATGAAGGTGTTTCTTCTCTCATTGCCTACTCTGCACTTGCTCCATGGATTGGGCTGGTTTACTTGGAAAGATCAGGGAAACCTAGAATGGTTTGGAAGTGAGCTTAAATATAATTTCTTGTTCCAAGCCCCCTGCCATGGGCAGGGAAGATCACTCCCTACCTCAGACTTCTTAACTCTGAGAGATATAACAAAGCCTGGCTTTCAGAAGAAACATATTGTGTATTTCTTGAAAGTTTCTTAGTTTGACTTTGGATATTCAAAAATTTGTGACTTCCACAATATCTAATCACCCTGTGAAAGTCCAGGCCAGGATTTCAGACTTTGAGGATAGCAAGCAAATGCCTTAAATTAGAGGTTTCAATTAGAGAATATTAAATTCTCTTCTGTAACTAGAGATGTTTTAGGAGAAATGGGAATAGCCAGGTAGGAGTAATTGGTTTTGGAAGAGTCGAATGTGGGAGCTCTGCCCAGCACTTTCTTTTATTATGGCTGTTTTCCTTCCACAGCTCAGGAAAACTCATATTCATGCACAGCCTTACACTTCACTGGGATTCCCTGACTTGGAGATTGTCAGCATTGGCTTATTATACAAGCTCTTTGTTTTATCCTGTACAATACATCTCGCCATACACAATTTGGCCTCTTAACCTGCCATGAAATATTTCAAGGGCTTGTTGCTGGAAGGCGTCGTCTCTCCTGGCTGTGATTTGTGCATTTTCCTGACAGCTTATAACGATTCGTGGTGGCTTGCAGTACAATGAACTCATGCTGCAGAACAGCACACTGAAAAAGATCTTTCAAATTATTGTTCCGGTGCAAAAGGTGCCCAATCACCTTCCACCTGCGGATTAGTCGGTTGCTATAGGAACACACTGTAGCTTTTCAGTGCCGGGCTGCTGTAGTGCCCAGATTACTGACTCTGACAAACACAATAGGGGGAAAGAATCACGGGTTATTAGTGCTGCTGATGATGTGATGTTATAAACCTGGGGTGGCACGGAGCGGATGAATAGAGCAGGAGCCTTGAAACGCGAAGGACGGGAGGAGGAGAGGGAGCAGAGTGAAGTGGAGATGAAGCCATCGCTACGGAAATGTTCTCTTTGATCTCGTTTTCCCCTCTGAGTAGATATTTTCATAATGTGATGCCAAATGCAAGCAATGCTGTACCTGGTGGCAGAGCCACTGGTTATGTCTTTATCTTAGCAGGGGGCTGCTCCTCCTCTCTTCCTTTTTCCTCCAGTGAGTGCTGAAATCTGAACCTTTTCATTCCTGCAGGATTAGCTCTGACCAAGGTCAGAGCAGCCAGTCACCAATATTCTTCATGGGTGAGTCAGGCCTCCTGCATCCCTGAGAAATATCACCTGAAACATCCACCTACACACAGGACTTTAATGGGGAATTTTGCAGCGTCAGAAACACGGAGGCAGCAGCTGAGATCAGGCCTCTGTCTACTTTGGTGGCTATAACTGAGACTCAGGAGTTTATGCTGCTGAGCACCCTCCTGCAGAGCAAGCTGCCTGTGTGCTTCATAGGGGAGAAATAACTGCTTGCAGCACTGATTTGTAGATGGTCTAAAATTCCCAGAAAGAGTTTTGCTACCACTTGCGCTTGGGCAGGGTGAAGCGAAAGGAATAAAATATATACTTGTCCATTGCTTGTGTGCCTTGAGCAAAACAAGCTGTGCTTAGTCACAAGTTCACCAGATGGTACTCTGGGGGTTATTGCTGTTATATTACATTACTGCAATATATTAGACAAGGCACAGTGATTCATTCCCTTTGCTCAGTGCTTTTGGAGGCTGTTTCCCTCCCGATGGAAGCACAGCTGACCCTGCTGCTCATGACCCTTGGGACCCCTGTGGGCTTCTGTTGGTGCATGGGCAGGAAGCACCAAACATCCCAGCACCAGTGGCAGCACCAGACCTTGGAAAAGGCCTGGCTTGCACTCTGAGAAGTGGCTCCACTTTCTGATTTGAGCCAGCTGATTTGGGACCTCTTTTTTTTATTTTTCAGCCCTGGCTGCTTCCTCCCTCCTTCCCTGCTCCAACTCTGCTTGTTTTGCCTTCTCACTGGGGCCTCCCCGACCTTGCAATTGGACCCATGTGACCCTCTAAGCAGGGAAATGGCCTTGCTCAACCCCTGGTTTGCAAAATGGACTGAAATACAGAGTTTGCACTGTACTTACAGAGCCCAAGGACTATCAAAACACCACAGAGAGGTATTGTTTTCCTCCACTTCTGTTACTCTGTAGGCTGAAACCCTCAGTTCAGTGAATTATGTGCTGGCTGACACCTAAGAACCCATCCTGGGCTGGTGCCACATGTGCAGGCAGGGCATAGGTGCTGCTGTTGGTCAGCTGGACGGCCCCTGGGACCATCTGCCACCCCTCTTTGGCCTCCCTGTCTCCACTATTATGTTCACTGACCAGCTGCTTTTCCTCATTGCCCTTGACAAAGCCTCCCAAGCCACAGTCTCCCCTTGCTATGAGAGGAAACAAAGAAATGCCACAGCCACTCGCTCTCCCAGTGGCCTTGAGCTTCTGATCCCAGGTTTCCTTGTGCTCCCCAGCCCTGCCCTGGTGGTGCCAGGACACTGACTTGAGCCTCCCCTAGTCACAAGCTCAGGATCAAAATTTACTTCAGTTTTGCCTGAGGCATCTGAAAGAGTGATGGAAAAGGTTGGTCAGAGCGTGCTTGGATCAGAATTTCACCGCAGGTGTTGCTGTAATTTCAGGCAACTTGAAAACTGCAAATTGGGCCCTCTGTCCCTTAGATTGCGCTTTTCATTTTATGATCCTCTGGAGGAAAATGAATTTCCTAGCCTGAGCTCCTGTCTGCAAATTTAGAGGGACAGAACACACGCTGCCTCTTCAGTTTTAAGTGGCTTTAAACGGGGACATGGAATGGAAATTGAGAGAGACACCGAAACAGGGAAGTGTGGAAACCTAGCTCCAATAAAATGATGGGAAAACCTTCCATCACCATCATCACCTCAGCAGAGCTCAGCAGTGCTGTGGGAACAGCAGTGCAACACTCCTGTTATGCCTTGTTGTTTTTATCAACAATGTTCTCCTCCACTTTGACGTCAGCCTCAAGATTGGTGGCTGTGATGCGCTGCACCTTTCATATTTTCTTTCCAGTCATAATATTGCTTCAGTCGTAACCTCAGCACTTTGAGGAATAATTGTCCCTGACAAGGGGGTGAATCACTGGCAGAGAGTTGATAAGCATTACATACAGATGACAGAAGTCAGGACATATCGGATTACTGCTGTGAATATAATAAAAGAGAGCCTAAACACTTTGGCAGCTCAAAGACAAGCCATTTCATAACTCTCTAGTGGGGCTATTATCTTCCATTTACTGCCACTGATAACCAGGTTGCAACTGCCTCCCTAGGATCTAGTTACAATTCACTTAACACTTAGAGGACCAGACATATTGGAGGACACTCAGATGAGGATAATTTCTTAAAGATCATTTATTTTTAAATTTTTATCTTCCTTGCTTCCCCTCTTTATAGTGTGATAAGAACCTAAATCAGGAAGCTTTGAACTTCTTTGGGGAAAGGAGAGTTCATGGTCATCTTCCCTTTAATCTTTCACTCCTGAGTTTCTTTTGAAGCCAGTTGTTCATATCCAGCTGAATAAGTGACAAGCAGGTTTCCACCTCTGCTACTCTTGTCGTACATGCACACAGACCTAAAAGCTTGTTCTGATACTGACTCCATTAGGTTTACACGTGGGTCTTATGTTTTTATTTTTGCAGCCAGGAATGGGCACCTGAGCTTACAAATCAGGGGTGTTGGTGTGTATCAGTAACAGATAATTCACAGCAGTGCCAATTACAATGCACACTGGTGGAGGCTGGATACAGACATTTATATGCACTGTGTGAGGTTTTGTTTCCAAGCCTCACTGCCTAAGAGGAGTTTAACATTTCATGCTCCTAGATATCAAAATTCTCTCTTTTAGGCTAAAGAGAAAAAGAATTATTTGGTGTGGCAGAAATCTGGTAAATGATCAGTGACACTCCTTACTAGCCAGCACATCACTGAGAAATATTTATTAATCTTAGGGATTAAAGCCTTCTGTGTGAAGGGAAACTCTGCCTTCTGCAAAACTTTCCTCTTGTACCCACATAATGATCAGTAAATGTAAGCTCTGCTCAGCTTTCAGCATCTGAAGTGTTTTCAGATACAGGACAAAAGTTGGTTCACCCTTTTTCAGGCTGAAGACTGGAGCCTCTTTCTGTAAGTTTGGCACCATAAATCCATTCCAGTCTTCCAGAGCCCCCCAGCCACTGGGGAGGAGTATCTTTGCCAAGGGTGGGTCAGGATAATGGGAGGATGAAAGCTCAGTGCTATTGGCAGCTCAGAGGTTGTGCATTCATAAATGTACCTCTAATCCCATGCACAAGTTCTCTTTCATTCCCATCACTGGAAATTCTGCAAAGAAGCCTCTCTACGTGTGTCTGAACAGCCAGATTTGGTGATCTAGAAACTAAAACATCCTTCTGTTACTTGCTACTTCAACCCACAGTGCAAACTTTACATCTCAGCTGGCCAAAAATAAGTCCTTACTGCTTTATGTAAACCACCACAAATCTGTTTTTGAGAGATATTGTACCAGGCTTTCTTAAGCTACAAACAATAAGCAATGGTTAATTGCCCTTTTCCTTATGATTTGCACCTCTGCTTGATTTTTCACAGCACAAGTCCTCATCTGCTGCAAGGAACCTGTAAAGAACAACAGCAATTAAGGAGGGAGGAAAGAAGTTGAAACAGTAATTCCAAGTGGTTTTCTTCTCAGGAATTCTGGATCTCACCCCTGACTTTCTAGCAGCCAGGCAAAGGCAGGTGAATCCCTCTCTGCCCTGCTTTATCCTTCTGTAAAATAAGTGTGGTCAGTCCTACCTGCTCCACCACTTTGTCACGTGGTGCACCCAAGAAATATCTGTAAATTGCTGTAAGATTTTGAGTGATTTTGAGACCAAGGGAAGGCTGGAAGTGCCAAGTGTTGTTGTTGTTATTGTATTAACAATGTTGGCTGTTTTCACTGTTCATATGGTAGCCTGGCTGGAATTGGGCAGGAAGCCCAATAATGCCAACAACCAACAAGAAACTAAAATAAAATGTTTTACTTAATGAGAGCCTCTGTTTAATCAGAAGCCTGTGTAATTATGTCACAGAGGGCTAAGGATCTAATGTTTTCCTAATACATTTGCTTTTAAAGGGACGATTAACCCAGCATATTTCAAGATGATAAGCTGCTTCTTTGTTCAGTTCCAGTTATTTTTTTTCTGCATTCCCTGGTGAGTCCAGAGAGAACCTGAGAGTCAGAGGATTTTTCTTAATTGCAACATAACTATCTTGTATGTCTGATGCTGGAGTATTTTCTAAAGATACAGGTTATTAGTCCTGGGTTGGATGGGTTTGCACAAGAATTCAGATGCTGAATTTATTCTGATTTGTCTCCTCTGAGGCATGGCATACATTACAGAAAGTCCTCAGTATTCCTGACGAAAACAGTCAATATTCTTAGCAAGCAAGTTGATCAGAAAGAAGGAATAAAATTGTACCTTACCTTGAAACAAGTACATCTTGGTTTAGGTATTAAAGATTGTTTTTGGCTTGCTTCTAAATGTTATGTTTCTGCAAGATCCGTGCACGCCTGTCCAGTCATTTATTTTCATATGCTTTGAAGAGAATCATAAGCAAAAAAAAGCTCTTCATCTCCTGAAGACCACTGTCGTAGGAGATGTTAAACATCAGCCCATATTGATATTCCAAGAAACATATTTATGCTGCATGAGATGGAGGACAGGTCTCTGTTGTGTACATGAGGTTCTCTGATTTGAATAAAACACATTGCGTCCACACTCGGGAGATGTTTGATCAGTTCTGTTCTCAAAGATCTGACTGTAAAATATCCTATGGGCCCTCTGGGGAATTTATCCCAATATTTTGCCAGGAAGGCCATTTGCTAACATCCAAGCAGGCTCTTCCAGGACAAGCTCTGGTTTGCCACAGTGAGGATGGAAGACACCCCACTGGCTTCCCCTTTCTTTTGTAAGTAGCCACAAACATCAACCTTGTGTTTAGGTGTGGTGACATTTACTGGGTCTTTGTTCAAACTCTTTTGCACTGTGGTTTGTGTTTGTGTTTAGATGTGAAAATGCTTAGGATGGGGTACCTTTTTCATGTAGTATGGTAGTCCTACATATTCCTTGATTGCTGCAAATTGCTTTAAAAAGGGGAGAAAATGGAAGCAAAATAAATGTACCCCCTTTTTACATCAGCTATTGGCCACACAGGATTTTGGTAGGAAGGAAAGAGTTAATAATATTATTATCAGGTCAGCAACTTTGAAAGGCTCTTCCACTTTGAAAACCATTTTCTTAATTATTTTAAGTTAACACTTAAATGCATAGAAAAAAAATCACGTGTAATCTGAAACCCCAGACTTGGGGACAGGACTGGATTGAGATAACATTAAAGATTTTATTGCTGTTATATTATAAATTATTTCTATTATGATGTCCCTATGGGTATTACATTCTGTCAGTTCACTTTCACTGTTACATCACTTAATGTTATTAACACACTTTAGGGTATAACATTACAGTTTTATTGTGGAAATCTTAAACACTTACATCCAAAGTACTGAATCAAGTTATTATCCTAGCTGACCAGATCTGGTCTATTATCATTTTATCACTCATAAAAACCTGTGATTCAATTTGATTTAACACTTGAGGAAAAATCATGGCTCGTATATGCTTAAACCTAGTTGCAATATTAATACAAAGCAACACATGGATGACTTCATTTTATTAAAGTTGAGGTAGCCCTGGGAACTGCATTTATGATTTTATGCCACATGAGAAATTTGATCTGACCTGTTGCCATTCGTGATTCTCCAGTAAACTGATAAAGATTTCTCACCAGTATATTAAAGAATTGTGAACGTTTTACCTTTCTTACTGCATTCATTAGACACTCAGAAACCGTAAATTTATCATAATACCCTAACCATGGAAAAAGGTGCTCTCCCTGTCTTGGAGTCCTACCTTATAGACTGGAAAAATGTTGCACTTTGGAAGGCAAACTGAGATTAATACTAGAACAAAATTAGCCCCTTGTTTCTGTGCTTAGAGTGTAAACATTTTTCTGTGCAAGACGGCTCTGTTGTCCTCTGTGTAGTTCAGCAAAGCTCTTTAACCCTTGCACAACGTTCAGAGGGAGAAGTTGATCCACTGAAGTCACTGGTTAGACACTGGAACAGACACTTGAACATTGATTTTGGTTTGTTGGCTTTGCTTGCTGCCACTGCCTGAAATATTTAATATCTTGCTTAGGTTATCTGCTACGTCCTTTGAGGAGAAGACCAAGAGCTGTGTGTGAAATTTCAAATGTCAAAGTGAAAGGTTTCATGTGTTCCACTTCAGGGGAAGGGGGAAGACAAGGCTGTGCCAGTGTGGAAGAGCACAGTGCTGAATGACCTCAGCCAGGAGTTCTGCTCCTGCAGCCCAATTCCCACCCAAGTCAGAGGGAGGGCTTTGCTGGTCCAGGAGTTCACTGGTGCAGTGACATTCCCAGGCAGGATGTGCTGGACCCACCAGCCCCACTCTGTGCCATGCACACAAAATCACCCTGGCAACAGAGCTGACAGCTTGGAAACAGCAGCTGCTGCTTAATGAAAAACATTAGAAAAATAACTCATTCTAGATCTCTGTCCTCTCTCTGGATAAATTTTCCTATTTATCACCAAAAAAAAAAAAAAGTGTTCTGCAACCGCCACCCAGAACTTTAAAAAGCTTCAGGGTGTGAGGGTTACACACACAGGTGTGCAGGCAAAGAGGTGAGTTTCCAAAGACTGTATAATTCCAACACACACATTTTTCTTCTTAAGCCACAGCTAAATTGCTTGCTACTTGCAATTAGGCCTAAGTGCATCTTTAGGGAGCAATGGGAATGTGCAATTATTTATTCTTGCCTCAAACATGCAACAAACAAATACTGCAACAAACAAGCAGCAATGTGGCCAAATGCTAAATTCCAAGTCAGCATTTTTGGTTATTGCTGGTTGAAGTATCTCTGTTTCTGCTCAGAGCTGGGCTCACTGGAAAGAAGTACCCCAACAAAAGCAAACAACTGTCTCTGGTAAAATCTTCTCCTTTTTATTTTTTAATAAAAACAAATACAAATTTCTTTTTTTTTTCTTTCTTCTGTTGGAAATGTTCTGGAAAAGTCCAATAAAGACAACTGTAAGGCAGCTTCCCTGGGTAAAAACCAAACCAAAGTAATACTACATCACCATGTGAAATAACAAATTAGGTGGAGAGACATTAACTAGTGTCATTCATCAGCCTGAAGTGATACGATTTATTACAGGATAATAATGGCCATAGTTGCATAGGTAGTAAAGGTAAAATTACATCATGACTTGCATTAGCAGTATGAGATTATATCCTGATTAATGCACAATTAACTTGTCATGGGTACAACACGTGTTTGTAGGTGGCCAGATGGGTTACACCACATCCCATGCTCACATATGTAGCATTTATCACTTTCTCCTTATCTCCAGAAATAAGATGCCTGCATCCACTACAATCTTCAGGCCCCTCACTGCCTTGATGCAGAGCTACCTAACATCAGGGTACGAGTCAGAAACCCTTGGAGATGACCCCTGAAATCTTAGACAGCTGCATGAATCCTGCTCCTCTCTGCAGATGAGACCTTGTTGGAATCTGAGGTATTGATGATTCTGAGATTGTAGAAAGTCTCTGTCTTTCTGCCCTGCTGCCAAAGAAGCCATAATTCGTCTGTGCTGTTTTCAAGGTTGTTTATTCTGTTTATCTCTAACATGTTCTGCTGCCCTGCCGCAGCTCTGTCCTGCAGGGCAGCGTGTGGGGCTCTGCCCTCAGTGGGATGTTACAAACATTAAATACCAGAAACTACCTGTGCTGGATTTACAATAACGTGCCAATATCTGTCACCTACGTTGAACAGTGTGTCCCCAGCCTAAACCAACAGAAAAATGCCAACACCACAGTGAAACATGGAGGGCATGAAGAAGGAGAAAAAGGACAAGACACACCCAATTCCTCCATCTTGTCCCCTTTGAACCCCTTATCTAGAATCCTAAACTTTTTACTTTTTGTACCCGTGCCACACTTAATTATTACTTATATCAAACACTCAGAGCTTGTAATTCATCCCGTAAGATTGAAAACTCTTTTCCATGGACACCCTAAAAGCACTCTGGATGAGGAATCCCTTCTCTCCTTTATTCTGATTTTGCAGGGGAGATAATTAAGCTACAGGAGCAGCTGAGAAGGATTTTTACTTTTAGTTGCAAGTATCGATGGAGGTGCTTCAGCTTCACCTGAACTCCTCTGTGAGTGCAGAACTGGGTCATTTGCCCATGTGCTGACATGCAGGTTTGCTCATTCATACTCTCCCTCCTGTTGTGTTTTTTCTGCTATGTGACTGCAGATCTGGCTGTCTGCAAACTGAATAATAAAGCAGCGAGGTGGCTGAAGAGAGACAGGGCCCCCAAGTTTAAATCTCTGTTCCATCACAAACTCGATGTTTGTCCTTCAGAAACTCATTGTAATTTCTCTTTCCAGATTTCTCAGTCTGAAGGGGGAAGGATTTTACGTTGTTAGGCCATCCTGCCTCACACTGTATGTGATATTTCAATTAGCTGTTTGAAGTTGTAAATTGCTGAGTGAGGACAGAACAGAACTTTTCAAAATAAATGGCATCAGATTTTTCTCTTTTTTGCACACATTTTTAGTAGTGAAATCTACTGGAAAGGGTTGGCTCACTTTGATCCTTCTTGTGCTTTATTTTTGTGTTTGATGGTACTCCCCAGTTCCAACACTAAATGATGGTAATTTTCCAGCATTTCCAGTTTACAAGAAAAAGCTCATACAATAAGGAAAAAAATCTACTAATTTTATTGTCATGAAATGTCTTTTCCAGCTGACAGCATTGAGCACTTGGATATAGGGCATCCAGCAGTGGGGAACATGCAGATCCTCAGTCCCAGTTGAGCACATCTTTAGTGTTCAAGAGAAAAAGGGAACCATGTTATGCTTAGGTTCAACTGTTAGAAAATTCTTATGTTCTTCAGAATTACTTCTGCTGAATAGAATTTAGCAAATAAATACCTAGCAAACACACTTGTATCAAGCAGTTCCAGGACAGACAGTGCCATTCATCATTTCCACCCCTGATATTTTTAATTCTGGGATGATTAGCTAAGGATCATTTTAGATGACATTTCTCCTGTATGGAGTAGACACTTCACTCTGTAATGTATAAGACATCTATTTTTGTTATTAGTAATTCACTTTATGATGCCCTGGTCTCAATTTTCAGTGCATCCTGGGAGGTACCATTGAGAGATGATGCTACAGAAAGACAGCCAAGCCTTCATTTACACAAGTGAAAATGAAAAGTGACATCAGCATCTATTTGAGCTGTAGGTTCTGCTATTCAAATAATTCAAATAAGTTTTTACAACAGCATTAAGTCTGTGTTTGAGTGCACCATAAGTCTTAGACTAGCCTAGGAGAGAACAAAATCTGGTGTTCTCCTTTTGACATGTAAGGAAAAACTCACGTATCATTAAAAATAAAATCATTCTCTCTCATTCTTCAGGAGTGGTTTGTGTATCTCCTGAAGTACTTCAGGATGACAGAAGAGAGGGACTTTCAATTGCACCAGCTGAAATAACTGACTTGCTCTTCAGTTGGAAAAGTGAATTTAAGTTTCAATGATCGCTACTTACAATGTCCATCGGCAAAGACAGGAGGAAAACATAATTTCCTTTGTTAGCAATCTCCCTGTTAAAAGGAAATGTCAAGTCTGAAAATGTAAATAGAGTAGACTTGGGGCATGTTGAGAATTCAGGCAAAATACTTTGGGTTGAAGTAGTTAATTGGCAAGTCTGAAACATTTCAATGTGAAACCATTAAATGTAAGGTAAAAAAAAAGTAATTACATTTGAGACAGGCATCCACTTCAAACCCTGAAACCAAAAAAAATTTCTTAAATTAAAAAGCCCAAATCAAGCCATTCTTTAGATAATGTTTTGAGGAGGGAAAAAAAATTCAATGGATTTCTCATTCCAGATTGGTATTCTTCTTAAAAAAGGAAATTTTGTGCAGAACTTTGTCCAAGCACACAATTAGTTTTCGCTCCTAGAACCAGCATCATCAGCGGCTCACGCCTGTCTTCATTCCCAAATTACCTCTCAAAGGTTCCCAAAGCAGACCCAGGAAAACTCTGAACAGCAAATACCTGGTTTGCCCTCTGAGCAGCTAAATGCTGATAAATGAGGGGAAGGCTGTGCAGGTGCCTCCTACTTTGTTTGGCTGTTTGAAATTCCCTCTCAGCCCTATTTCTGACGTGTGGGCAGGAAGGCTGTGGGAGCTGAGGGGATGTGACATCCGTGACTGAGACACTTGATGCTCCTCGTCACCAGCAGGGCCAGGTACAGCTCGCCTGGGAGCATTACAGAGCAGAAATTGCAGAGGTTTGGGGTGCATCCTTCAAGCTCCAGGAGCTGCTTAGCAATGTTTGTGAGCACAGAACACGCAAGGCAAAGGCAGGAGATTATCCCCCACCCCTCCCTCCTCCAGTCTCCATCAGTCCCCAGCCCAGCCTGTAATTTGGCAAGATGAATGAAGTGTTTTCGGAGTGTCATCACTTCTGCCTCTGGCAGATTTGCTTCCCCAGTCTGCCTTTCGCCTTTTGGACCTGTCACTCAGCCCTTTGGCAGAGGGGAGGAGGGGGAGGGAGGAGGAAATCATCTCTTTGCTAATCACCTATCACAAGCAATGAAATCCCGCAGGCTCCGTGCCAGCTAGGTACATTTCAAAGGGAAATGGAGGGGGGCAAAGTGTCACTCAAGGCAGATATTTATGAAAGATGACAGTTTGCAAATATCTCAATCTTGGACAAGGCTGCTCCAGTGACACAGAGGAGTGTTGCAAAATTGGAAGAGTCAGCAGCCAACATTTATTTCATCAGGACCTGTCCAATCTTCAGTGATCGCTTGACAGTCTGGGGATTGCTGGCACAAGCCAGCCCCTTTCCATTGGTCGCTTTCCTTTGGTTTGCATGGATCAGTCTAAAGAGTTGTAATAAATATGTAAAGAAGGATAAGAGGAGTAGTTTTCAGAGCTGCATCCTCAATGGGAGCACGGGCACAAAGCTGTGCTCCCCCTGTTTAGGGGGACCCAATAACAGCAGTGGTAATTACAGCCCTATTGATTGCTGCTGCTGCTTGGGGACAATGAGATTTGGGCACAATGAGATTTGGGCACCTCTCGCTGGTGGGGACCCCCCCATGAATCCCCCCAGGCTCCCCCCATTGCCACAGCAGCTGCTGGGGTTTCTCTGAGGGACCTGTTTCCTGTGTCCCTCAGCTATGGGTGGAGTGCAGGAGAGATTTCCCCTCTACTCCCAAGGATTTGGGGCTGCATTGAAAAATTGCTGCTTGTGCAGGGATGAGGTGAATGATCCAGGAGTTCATTTCCACAGGGCTGAGGAGTTCACCAGGCCCTGAGCTCCTCCCTCCACACCCTGAGGTGATAATTTCTGTGAGCTGCTGACCCAGGCAGGGCTTCAGTGCCTTCACAGAGCCATTGATGACCAGGGAGCAAGGGAATATTTCTCCCTTGCTTCACTCAGCCCCTTCCCGGAGGCTGTGGGTGCTGGTTTGGGCCATGGAGGCTGACTTGGACCGAGAAAAGGGATTTGCTGCTTGGAGTAACTCAGGTAGGACTGTGAGAATGCATCAACACAGAGAGGGAGGGGGACAGAGGGTCACAGGAGGAGGAGCAGGGAGAGAGGAGCTGTGCTGGCACTCAGGGGAATGTGGGCAGAGCAGGGCAATGGGGTGAGGGTTGCCACTACAGGCTGTGAGAGCAAGGAAAGGCACATCCCAGTGCTCTTCCATCAGCCATCCAGCAGGGAAATGCTCCTGTGGGTCACATTCCAGCACTGCCTATCTGCCTTGTTCTGTAGGATGTGTAGATCAAAGCTTGAGGGCCTGAATCTCTGAACCCAGGGAATGTGCTTCTGCTTATTAATTGCCACTGTCGTTTCACTTGTCCGTGTTACAAACTAATTTGGAGGGCAGCAGGATAAAAATGCTGTCTCCTCCAGGAGCCATAACCCTATAGATGGAATTCCCCTGCTGTGGGCTGAGAAGCAGCAACCAGTTTCTGAAATGCTGTGTTAGAAAGGTCTAAAGTGAACACAGTTACTGACAGCAGCAGAGGAACCAATGCAGCTGTTGGCACAAAACCTGGAATTTCCAAGTGAAGAAATTTCCTTTCTTATCACTTACAAAGCGCTGTAGATGACAGTTGGAAGAGTCCTGTCTCAATATTCACCATTTTCATGGGCAAATGTAAGGCCTAAAAGGAGAGGCTGATTCAGCTGGTTGCTCTGTGGTCTTTTCTTGCATCTTGTGCACTGAGAGCTTATGTGTGTGTGACTCATGGGGAGTAACATGGATGGAGGTGGATTATGTTAGCAGAATGCAAAACTGCTCTTCTGTTTTAGGGTTTTAGCAATTCAGTTGAAATGGATCTTGAATTCAATTAAAGGCCTTGTTCTTCCTTTCTTTATGCCTCGCATATCTTGGAGTTTTGCATAATTCAAGCTAAACTGTGGCCAAAAACAGCACCCTTATTTTAGTCATCACAAAGTGTTTTCTCTGAGATCTCTGGAGTTCAGTGAAGTTGCTCACGGGTGACAAGTGGTAAGATGCAGTAGAGTTCTTGATGAGAGAAGCTACCATGGCTTTTAGTCTAATGTATTGCTAGAATATCCTAAGACGACACATAACTCATGTATGTCAGTAGGACTCTCCAAAATTAATAGTGAAAGGAAAAAGAAACGCACCAATGAGCTCTCCTTATTCAGAGTCCAACCATGTAAAGTGGGAGTATTCATCAGAGGTCCTTAGAAGTGCAGCTTGCTTTCCATGAACACTCAGTTCAATGGTGTTTACAGGTGTGCTGAGGTTGTGATGCAGCCCTAAGGTTAATTTTGTGGTAGCCAGAATGGTCAAAGTTGCAAGTGTCTGCAGGATTTGCTGCCTGCTGAAACTGGCATGGAGAATCCTCCTCCTCCTCCAGTTCCTCCCTTGGCTGCCCTGGCAGCCCAGAAGGGCTGAGTGGGCTAACACAGAGGTTAGCACTCTCCCTCCACTCTACTGCAAATGTCTTTGCTAAAACAAATTATTCTTACCCAAGGATTCCTGGGTAAACCTTCCATCACTGGGGAAAAGAAAAAATGGAGTGCTATAAAAGGCTAGTTAATCACTGCACACCCTGCAAGGAGCAGAAGGCCATTCCAGAGTAATTGGAATTATCTTCATTATTCTTATTTTCAATTACATTTCAAAATCAAATAACAACTTGCCTTTTAGACAGTTTCATGATCTAAATCCCAGTTCTATAATTTTTACTTAGTGCTTACTTACACAAAAGTTCTCCTTGATTGTAATGGCCTCTTTGCTTCTCGAAGAAACTTCCTGAAGGAAAGAAATTTAAAAAGTTTTGGTCTTTGAAATAGCAGAATCCCAAGCTGTCCACACAAATGCACATGTAGTAATTGCAAGTCACCTGTCCTGTTATTTAAATCTATATTGAAGTAGCTGCTTTTCAGGTGGCACCTTGACACCAATTAAATGCACAGCTGTGCATCTGTTCATGTACCAGGCTCGATTGCTGGTGTGCTGGAGCTCAGGCCATGGCTGGTACTGCAGAGTAAGCAGAAGGACTCTTAATAATTATTAAACAGCTGATGAATAAAAATTAATGGCTGCATCTAAACTTTGCAAAGCAGGTGCACAGTCTGTTGTTTGGTGGCCTTCATGGGGGTAGCTGGCTGTGCTCTGGCCCAAGAGCTGGAGTTGGGCTGGAGCGGGCAGGGAAAGTGTCCTCAGAGGTTCTTTGGTTCCTCTGTGGATATCCAGAGGATCTCCACAAGTGTCAGACCTGTGGATATCCCCTGGACATGGGCTCCAGGTTGATGGCAGTTTTGTGTGAGGTTTTTTTTGTTTTTCACAGCACTGCACAGGAGTCTGCATATGCAAAAGTGTCTGTATGTGCATATTACCTTGTGTCCACACCAACCATCCTGGCAAGATGGGCACCAGTGAGGAAAAAGGAGCTTCTGCTTCTCAAATCAACACAATTCCATCTCTTCAGAAGGCATAAAAGTGATACAGCCCATAAAAGGTTCCATTCCTGTTTTCATTCCACATACTCAGTCCCAGAGTCCTCTGGAATATCTTTTCTGACTTGCAGAAAGGAAGGGTACTTCAGAAAAAAAAATAAAAAGGCAAAACCCACAACCAAAACTCTCAAAGTTGTTCAACGGAATTCATCCCACAGGACAGGAATTCCCATACAGGTCAGGGAAAAAAAAATACCACCTCCTTTACTTAATATCACTTTTCATATGGTAAATCCCTCAGAGTCTTTATTGTGGAATGAATAATAGATTAATCATTCCTCTGTGTGCAATGCTGGGGCTCTCTAATGTCACTGATTATTCTATATTGAATAAATAGTGTTGCTAGGTTGATATGTTTAAGGCAAATGAGATGCTTATTGGTATCCAAGAAGCCAGTTAACAAGATCCATTTTCCTCCATTGACTTCTACTCATGTATTAATGAGGTTCAAAAATGTCTTTTCTGTGTGTATCAGATAAACGTGCCTTTGTTATTCCCAAGAAGCACACAAATATTTGCTCCATTTATGTTTGTATTAATGTGTCACTGAAGCTAAATCTTCAGAAAGGGAATAAATACCATATCCATTAAGCCACTTAAGGGGAGAGTTCTGCAAAACTGTGCTGCAGTTGTTGCCATGGCAAATACCCATATTTAGGGAATCGTGTGGCATCAACTTCAGCATAAAGGACCAGAAGAGGGAAATGTACTTCTCCCTAGACAACTGTCACCTGCATATATATGTATTTTAAAAGTTCCAGTGGCTGAAGGGGCCC